GCTATAATATGATCCTACTATGATGCCACTGTTTAAAATTGCGCAATAAGAGGCGCGCCTTGAGGCGCGCCTCTGCGCAATTCCTGAAAAAAACGCCTCAAGGCATACGCAATAGGAGGCAGTGGTGAGGCGTACGCCTCATGGAAGCTGAGGCGCGCCTCTGTTGCGCAATTGCGCAATTTTAAGAGAGGCGTACGCCTCATCCCAAGGGCCCACCTACTTAAAATCTTCCATTAAATCTCCACACCCGATCGGCCTAAGCTCCATCCCGACATTTTCCGCCCGTTTGCTGCTCCAGGTCGCGACATCCAGAGCCCCCCGTCCGCTCGGCCAACCGTCCCGCCGCCTCTCCCGCCGGCGCCGCCTCTCTCCGGCGAAGTTGAAGTGTCCGGCCGCCTTGTAGGAGAAGTCCACAAAGGATTTTAGGTATTTTTTTTTACTTTTTGGTTAGATTTTTGAAATGAAAGAAATTTTAGGGTTTTAGATTTTTGGAATTTTTTTGTGTAATTTTCGATTCTTTCATTAGGGATCATGGTAAGAGGCAAGGAAAAGGGGTCTTCGTCATTGCGGAGGGACCCTTCTTGGAAGTATAGTGTACAAGTTGACATTGGCGGCGGCGAGAAGAGCTATGTCTATTTAAAGTGCAACTTTTGTGAGAAAGTTGTGAAGGGCGGAGTAACCCGCATGAAGGAGCACTTATCATGCTCTCACAAGAACGTAGCACCTTGTGCAAAAGTGCCGGACAATGTGAAGGAAGAAATATGTGCTTACATGAAGAAAACTACCACTGTCAAACACTTACAACAGCAGCAATTTGATGAAAGGGTCGACCAAGGTGCCTATTTTGGGAGCGAGAGTGGAAAGGGCTCCTCCTCCACTATACATAATAGAGGTGCACGGGGTCCTATGGATCAGTACATGACTACTGCAGGAGCAGATAGAGGAGAAGCAGAGATGATGCCTGCAGCTGGTACTAGAGAGGGTCGGCGACAGGTTTGCATGGACATTGGGAGGTTTTTTTTTGAAAATGCAATACCATTTAATGTTGCTACATCGCCTGCCTACTTCAGTATGATGCGGTCTGTAGGATTGTATGGAAGAGGGTTGAAAGCACCTTCTATGTATGAGTTGCGCACTTGGATTTTAAAAGAGGAGTTGCAGAACACCGAGCGAACCATTGGTGAGATTAAAAGGACATGGATTGAGACAGGTGTGACTATAATGTCAGATGGATGGTCTGACATGAAGAGTAGGAGTTTGATAAACATCCTTGTCAACAATCCCTATGGTACAGTGTTCTTAAGATCTGTTGAAGCTTCTGATGAGGTGAAGAATGCTACATTCATTTTCAATTTACTTGATGGAGTTATTGAGGAGATTGGAGAGCAGTTGGTTGTCCAGGTAGTGACTGATAATGCCAGTGCATACAAAGCAGCTGGTCAGATGTTGATGGAGAAGAGGACACACCTCTATTGGACACCTTGCGCAGCACATTGTATTGATCTCATATTGGAGGATCTTGGTGACTTACCTCAGCACAAGAGTGCTCTTGTTAGGGCGAAGAAGATTACAAAATTCATCTACAATCACTCTTGGGTCTTAAGCTTAATGAGAAAATTTTCAAAGAAAGAAATCATTCGACCTGCAACCACTAGGTATGTTCATATTTTTTACATTGTAAATCATTCCAACTGTATGTTCGTAGTTTTAACATTTGGGCACTGTGAATCTATAGGTTTGCCACCTCCTATTTGACACTGCAGAGCTTGATGGAGGTGAGGCAACCTTTGGAAGCCATGTTTACATCAACTGAATGGCTAAACTCTGCTTGGGGGAAGAAGAGTGAGGGAAAGGAGATAAGAAAGATAATTCTGAATGATAAATTTTGGGCTACTGTGACCTATGCCATTTTGAGCACGAGACCCTTAGTGCAAGTTCTACGCTTAGTGGATGCAGAGAAGAAACTAGCTATGGGTTTTATTTATAATGCTATGGATGAGGCCAAGGAGTTGATTGCACATAACTTGGGAGGAGAGGAGGCAAGTTATAGGGAGATTTGGGATATCGTTGATGCTCGGTGGGAGGTGCAGTTACACCGACATCTACATGCAGCTGCATATTATCTTAACCCTCAATTTCAATATTCAGAGAAAAAATCTTCAAATCCGGAAGTTAAGCTTGGTCTATATCACTGTATGGAAAGATTAATACCGGAGCAGGCAGATAGGGAGCTTGCAGATTTACAGCTTGTTCTGTTCCGGAATAAAGAGGGTTTTTTTGGTTTGAATGCAGCAAAAACTACCATTTCTAAACGGTCTCCAGGTATAATTAATTTGGTAAATGCAATACACTTTATTCAGTTCTGAATTTTGATTATATTTTCTTCTTGAAAACAGTTGAATGGTGGATCCAATTTGGTGATTCCACCCCTGAGCTACAGAGTTTTGCTGTGAGAGTGTTGGGCCTCACTTGTTCTTCTTCTGGGTGTGAGCGAAATTGGAGTACATATAGTCAAGTGCAAACAAAGAGAAGAAATCGACTATCTACACTCAGAATGAACTCCCTCGTATACATAATGCACAACAAGAGGTTAAGAGATAGGAGGTTGAGGAATAAGGGGTTGAAAGATGATGAGGACCCGTTAGTGTGTGATGATCTGTCGTCTGATAATGAGTGGTTCATAGATGATGAGGCAGATTTATCATTATCAGACTTACAGGTAGAAGATCTAAATGTGGATGTATTGAGGGGCGAAGCAGATCAAACGGGTACATCCACTAGTACCACACCACACACATCTACTAGCTCTGCAAGTAAAGGTATATGTTCTCTGCCAGTCTGCTTGATAATGAGTGGTTCATCCAATTAATATGCTAATAATCTTTTCTTTTAATGAACAGGGAAGAGAAAAGTGAGCCATGTTGAAGATGAAGATGACATGGCATTCATAGATACAATTGGAGAAGAAGATTCACTTGAAGACTGATATTTTGTGATGGGATATGACTTCATTTTATGTGTTTTTTGTATTTTGGGAGTTTTGATAAACTGATATTTTGTGTTTTTGTACTTTGGGACATAATTTTATTGCATCTACTTTCTTATTTTCCATTATTGCTATTATTTTCCTGCTAAAATCCTTAATTTTTCATTTACGCAATTCTGTGTTCGTGAGGCTTACGCCTCAGACCGCCTCGAGGCTTACGCCTCGCCTCACGGACGAAAACCGCCTCGAGGCGCAGTTACGCAATTTTAAACCTTGCGCCACACCTAAAAAATAACTCGTCTGTAAGGTGCTGTTTTTAGCAAAATATGATTTTTCCCTTATGAGAATCATACACTACAGAAGCATGAATTGCAAAGCCCAGCATTGCAATTCAAGTTAAAAACCAAGTTAAAAACCAAAACAAATAGAATTTTAAAAACCTTAACCGCTTCGGGTAGCTCCTGAAGAGCCTTATCCGCGAGACGCTCGTCAAGCAGAAGCAACCTCGTGGAGCCTCTCCATCTCCCTGAGCGAAAATCAGCACCCAGCAAACCGCTCATATCATCCTCTTTCACCTCACTCTCCCCCGTAACTTCCACGACTGCATACTCTTTCTTTTGCTCTCTATCTTTAACCCTAACCCCTTCTCCTTCCGCTCTCTTATTCTTCTTCTTCTTCTTCTTCGGGCGCGACATCCTCGCCAAGTTCCGAAACTTCAAAAACCCTCGGCAATTGAACTCCTTTGCAAGTTTTTCCCGGTACAGCACCGGGTTCATAGCCACCGTCTTGTTATCGGATATACTACCAGCACGTTGGGCAAGTGAGACGAGCCGCTGACCTCCGTCGCCTTCAGCATTACGGAGAAGGTTTCGAATGTCAGGTTCGATATCATCGCCGGGAACGCGGGCGATGTTTCTAATACGAGGCCAGTTGAGGAGGTGGCCGCGGAGGCGATCCTCAAGTGTGGAGCAGTCAGATGCGGGTATACGGAGGGCGGCGATGTTGAATGTTCGTGAGAAGGACGAGCGGTCGAAATTTGAGCTTTGGTCGCATTCGGGGGCGTAGCAGCCGGCATCGGAGGGAGTTGGCCGTTGGCCGCGGCGGAGAGCGGGGCCGTAGTGGTCAGAATCTGGGGTTGAAGAAAGTGCTAGATTTAGGGCTTTGACGGAATAGGAGGATGAGTTTGAGGTTTTGCTTGGGGATAGAGAGAAGGGGAAGAAGATGGCATAGGGGCGGATAGCAAACGCGGAAGAAGCCATATCTTGTCGTCTGACTCCAAAATAGCTCTATGGGAAGAGAAATAATTACGTGCCGACCTCTGAAATGAAATCGTGACTGACACTTAGATTTTAAATATATATGTTTTTATGAGTCTTCATTTGATGATCCGGCCCAACTCGATGATAGTTATAAAAAAAAAAAAAATTTGCAGTGGTTTTCTTTTAATTTTTTTAGGATTTAGAATTTACGCTCATTTTTAATTAAAAAATTCCGTAAAAGCTCTTCATTAGAACTTAACAGAATAAAAATTTTAATAAATGATAAGAAAGAAAAATGAGAAATAACCAATAAAGACAGAGACTAGTAGGATGGAGACTAATTTGGAGGACATTGCATTCTCCGAGGAAATGACATGCTCATAGGGCACGGAGGTTTAAAGATTATATGCAAATGTCCAGAAGACATGAATATAACAAAACAACAACCAACTATAAAGAGTTTGCAAAGTATTATGGAGATTGCATGGTTGGATCAAATGGAAGTCAGTTTGATTGGAGGTGCTATAAATTTGAACTTTTTATTGGTAACTTTTTATACTCTTCTCAAATTTTACTGTGTTTCCTATAAATGTATAGATTTTAGGGTTTATAATGTATTTTTCAACTATTCAAATGTTAAATGCCACAAATAGACATGCTTTTATACAAAAATTATGTAAAACTTTATGTAAAATAATAATTTTGAAAACTCATGATTTCTCATTTTGCACAAATGTTATAGCTTGTTAATTATGCATTTTTCCTCTTCTCAGTTATTTATTTAACTTGAAACTGCATGTGTATATCCAGAATTTTTTGGGAATGTCGTCTGCTCCTCAAGACTTTATGCTGTGTTTTTCCTATTTTTAAAGCTTTATGCACTTGTATATGGGATGTGCTCAATCTTATACACACCTTGTAAAGTTGCCCTTGTACACACACTGTATACAAGTGCACACAAAGTGTATAAATTCTCCTTTGTATACATCCTGTGTATAAGCTTGTGTACACCCTGTGTACAAATTTTCATTTATACACATCATGTGTACAAATTGTATACATATTGTGCATAAGCTTGTACGCACACTATAAACAAGTTTGTAAATTTCCCCTTATAGGCTTTGTACACACAATGTGCCACATTCTATAATCTATATTGGAAGGATTACATAAGTTTTTTAATTTAACCATTTAATTAGAACTTACCAATGAACAACAAAAAGAAATATGATTTCATTTTATATAAAATTATTGGTAAAAAAATTATATATATTGTCCAAAGTTTCAAATCATAGTTTCATTACTCTTTCCTGAAATAGTTTAACAAGTAACTAAAATCTTATAATTGAAATTAATGCAAGATAAAAGAGAACAATACCGGCGGATAAACTGTCGGTTAATACTGGCGGTCAGAAAACTGATTTAACCACCGGTAATTTCGGCGGTTATATGACCGCAGGTAAAGGCCACCGGTAAACCCTGATTTTCTTGTAGTGAAACTAAATTTTCTTTTCTTTAAAATTTAAAGCCCAATATAGAAAAAAGCTGAGGTATTTCTGAATAATTTTTTAGAATCGTAAAGTGCTAACAACCTTTTATCCTTTGACATTCAAAATAAGAGTTCAAAATTGATCTAATCCCTACTGAAATTTTAATAACCTACCTTTTATATCACTCTTAAAAAATTTCATAATAAAATTATTTTCATTATTTTGATAGAGAGCATCCATAGGAAGTTTAATCTTCTTACAGTATAATTAACTACGGAGGCTTGCATTTGTAGGAGATTTAAGACCCCATATAAATTAAACCTTACCCCGTTTAGCTCCTAAACTAGATAGAAAGTTTTGTTTTATTTTGAAAATATTAAAATCAAAGAGGATAATTATCATTATATTTAAATACTCAATAATAAATGATATGTCTATCCTTATAAGAGATATATTATTTCTTATTGAGATATTTGAATATGAAATTAATGATATACATATCTAAGTTATTGTAGTTAGATATGTAATTGAACATCATTTCGACCTCTTGGGGTAATATGTGGTTCACTGTGATGATCTTACTACAAGAATTAATGATAAAGCATCTTGACTATTATAGTCAACTTATGATTGAATATCATTTTGACTCTTCAAAGTCATATGTAATTCTCTCTTAAGTTTAACTACGATAGTCAGAATGAAGTTTCAATTTTGTGATTTGAACTCATTAGACAATTATAATTTTCACCTTCTGAGGTGATATATCATTTATTATGATATATTTGACAATAAAATTGAATATCCAAGAGTTTATATTTAAAATTTCCCAAAAAATACAATATAATTGATTTACTCATTTGTGCAAAGAAGCAAAGCAAACAACAAATGATTTAAAGTACAATTACTTTGTTCCACTTTTTATTCCAACCAAACAACAAAATTTTCAAAACCATTACATTTGAAGTAATTTACACCACTTCATATTCCAACAAAACAACAATGAAGGATAAAAGCACACATTCAAGTTGTGGAGAGAAATTGAAAAATTAATTGAAATTTGATTTGGAGGTTATTTGATTGTTAGAATTTAAAACTCAATTAAATTCCAAAAACAATATAAAGTTTATACAATCTAGAAGTAAGGAAATTGCATTTTTGTATGCATTTGTGGAAGTACAAGCAAAAACAAAGGTAAACTCTTAAGGGATGGTGGTGGCAGTCAGTTGTGGCGATTGGCCGCACTGGTGGTCAGCTGTGTCGACAACGACGGTCAACAATGTCAACAATGGCGATTGGCGGTAGTGACAGCAGGCGGTGGTCTCAGTCGACGGCAGCGGGTGGCTACAGATGATAGTAGTTAGCGGCAATAAAGCAACTTTTTTCATTGAAAAATAAATTCGCTGAAAATTGTATGTGTATAATACATAAAAATGAACTAAGTAGTGAAAAAGAAATTCATTGAAATTTTACACTATTATCCTTTTTCATCCAATAAAACATCAATATTGTTCAAAACCACTATATTTGAAATATTTTACACCTACTTTACTTAAAACTAAATAACCCTTAAAACTTAATTACAAATCCCACCTTTTACTTTTCTTCATATCAAACATATATTTTTTTTATTATTTGAATTATTCTACACCGCAAAACTTCTAACCAAAGGACCCTTATTGCATAACAAATTATGAGTGATATATACGAGTAGATGATCACAATATATACCAAAGGTGATTTTTATAGTGACTCGATCAACAATGCCTTAATCTATTATAACACAATAGAAGTGCTTTACGCTATTGATCTATTTGCTACATGATAAATATATGGGATTTTGATAAAAGAAAGTCGTCCCAAACGAAACTCAAATCAATTATTATTAATGTCTTACTTTATATTTATTTATTTATTTATTATCGTGTTAGTTGGTTTGATATTTTTTTTCTCATTTAATAAATATCTTTAGTTGCTTAAATTCATGTCAAATGATTTTGGGGCCGGCCAGGATATGAACTCAACAGCTGCATGAACTATAACTAACATCATATAAAAAAGACAAAGAAGGAAAGATCATAAGAATTTCTCAATTGATTTGGGTTTTCCCAATCCAGGGAAGAAGAAGAAGAGCTCAAAGGCTTCAAAGGCTTCAAAGGCTAATATTTCATTCAATGCTTTTCCTATTACAAAACCTGCTATATATAAAGTAAAAAGAGCATTCTAGAAGCTCATTCTAACAAACTAGATAAAGTGTCCTAGGGAACACCTCAAGCATAAAATGCACCGCATCATTCTCCCCTAACGTAAAAAGCCTCGACTCCGTCGAGACGCATTATTCAAAAAGAGATTGTTGCATAAGACAGATTCCCGGATCTAAGATTTTATTCTCAATATTTTCCTCCTCTGGAGTGGCCTTTTGGAAGTCCCCAAAATTCATGCCCTGCTTCTCGACAGGAATATAATGAATTGATAATTTTAGTAATACCTTGGGCTTGTAAGATTTCTCAAATTGTACTCTAAGCAATTCCTTCACATGAAACTTTCCTTGCAACAGCCCAACACTAGCAGGAGAATTCAAGTTTATAATACTAGAAAACTTAGACCAGCTGAAGGGATTCAGAAGCAGCTCAGGCAAACTTTCAGCTTTCCTATATAACAATACCTCACCAGCCCACTTGTTTTTCTCGGAATATAAAACTCTGTAGCATAAGTTGGGGAGTTCTCCTGCAACAAGCACAATTCTGTATGAAGATGAATTCTTGTGAGATGAGCTCATGGCAAGTGTAAGGAGGGGTTGTGTCTCGTGAGCAGGGGGGACTTCTCGGCTTGTGCCAGTGAGAGGATTACATGCCATGAATTCCCCTGTGGTGCTGCGAAAGCAGACCAAACTGCCAGAGGAAGCAACGACAATCCAACTAGCTTGGTTGCTTTGGTTGACGCACCTTGGCTAATTGAGATTCTTCCAATTTCTTTCACTGATGTCTAATATGATAGAGTGGTAAAGATCCTGATCAACCATGAGGAACCATGGATCTCTGAAAGGAATCTGCGAGCAGGCAATCCGAAACGTTGTAGAGGCAGAAACTGAGCTCCATCTTTTGCAAACTGAATGAAGACGGAAGAAACTTGAAGCTGTGAGACATGAAAGTATCTTCTCAAGGAGGTCTTTGTTTAGTTCATCAAAGGCAAGATGGGGAAAAGTTTGAGCTTCATCTGATGCTTTTCTTTTTCTTGTCTTTCCTTCAGTTAGGTTCACGATCTTCTCCATCTTTGTAAAGCAAAAGCAATTAGATTCTGCACTCAAATTGCAGCAGTACTTACAAGTGGCCCAATCACTATTCTCAAGACATTCACGAATGCTTTGAAGCACAGTTGGCATCCCTTGGGTACCAATTGCACCTATCTTTGTCAACTCTGCAATCAGCTTGGAAGGTCCAACCATGCTATCTTCTTGGTTCTCAAAGGAATTAGAAGCAGTCATTTGCATATTCGGTGGATCCTCCTCATCGACATCAGCCAAGAACAGCTCCAACTTTTCTTCTCCAGCTCCCATATCAACAACACCTGTTCTCGGATGTTTTGAT